TACTCCCAGAGCCCTGTAGTCACTCTTGATCCGTTCAGTGTCACACGTCGCAGTATCATTTGTGGCCAAATGGATGAGTAGCATGGGGTAGTAGTCAGAGGGCTGGATAATCCTCAACAATGCCTCCATAGCATTTTGGATATGGGCTCCCAGCAGGCAGCATACCTCCAGAGCTGAATTGTCAGGGCAAAAGAGGGGCGCCTCCATCCACCTAAGCAGAGAGTCTCCGCCCACCACTACCCTACGTTTCCTATTCGCAGTGGTGGCAGCAGACCTCCCAGCCTTAGGGGTACGAGGCTTCTCCTCCTTTACTGTAGGGGGTGATTCCTTCTTTCCTGTATCAAGAAGAGCATAACGGTTACCTATTATCACGGCAGGAGGGTTTGGAGCAGGGGTGGAGCACTGCCTGTTGCCAGAGGTAACCAGCTGCCAGTGTCCACCCTGAGCCATCTCCTCCTCCACCAGTGGTGTATCAGCAGTCCTGTGTACTGGGACAGCTACCTCAGCTGTTTCTGCATGGACAGTGTCCAGGAATTGCTCGTGGATTCGGATGGTCCTCAACCTAGCCACCTCCTCCTGTAGCTCTCCCACCTGCTGCCTGAGAGATTCCACCAGCAGGCACCTTTCACATTGGATGGTCCCCCCAGCCTGGATATAAGTAAGTGGAAATTGCAAGTTACAGTCTCTGCAAAACCACACCAGGATCTGGGTAGAAGCATCCATGCTCAGGCGCTCTGTCTGGCTACAGGCGCAGGTGGAGGAGACAGAAGCAGTGCTGGCACAGGTGTTATGGGTCTTCCTAACCATTGTAAGCCTCCCTCTCAAACTGTCCTGTCTGCAGCCCCCTGTCCACTGAAAGGGTTGTTTAAGGAAGAAGTTTTGATTGTAGTTGGTTTATAGGTTTTAAGGGGATAAAGGGAAAACAAATAGTGAGAAGTGATGTGGTTTTTTTTTTAAGCATTAGGACAAAGAATGGTTATTTCTTTCTGGTGCTCCATTTATAACTTTCCAATTATTTGTAAAATCACCAGAAAAGGATGGAATAAGGGAGAAGCCACTGAAAACTCAAGACTTGCCGATGAAGGCGAATAGTGTATTGTTATACTTGGTGAAAGATCACTTCAGAAATATATGGGAGGGAGGGAAAGAAATATACTGTAGCAAGACAGCTACTGAATGTTCAGAGCCATGGAACAAATAATTCTGGTAACAAAAGGGTGAGTAGAGAGAATTTCCACTCTTTCCTCTACCTCCCCAAGGAAAATCCACTCTAAATTGCTATTCATAGATTCATAGATTCTAGGACTGGAAGGGACCTCGAGGGGTCATCGAGTCCAGTCCCCTGCCCTCAGGGCAGGACCAAATACTGTCTGAATACTGTCATCAATTATAGTGGCTGAAGTGAACCGTGTGATGATCATTCAGTCCATGTTATTACACTTTCATTTGGGAAGTAAAGTATTCTACTCTTTGAAGGAAAAATACCGTTTCTTTTTTAACATTTCCATATCTGCAGGACAGATTTGGTCATGACACTGGTTACTGTCCACTGACTGATGAATCAGAGTAATCTCCTGAATAGATGAGGCCTCAGTAATGAAAATTAACCAGTTTAGCTGTATTCTTTGTTTCTTTTCATTAATGTTAGTCTTAAAAGTTTCATTACTCACTGTTGTATTGCTTATAATTTCCATAGGAAAATACCATAATTAAATTGACACTTGTTTGTCTCTTAGACACAGTGTGCAATTTTCAAAGGTGGCTAAAGGAATTGGTCAGCTCAGTTCCCATAAAAATTAATGGTGACGTTGAAAATCTCAGCCCTAATCTTTATTTGATTACAGCATGCTAGGATTATTATTAAGGCTACGATTTTGTCACGGAGGTCGCGGAAGTCATGGATTCTGTGACTTCCAAAGACCTCCGTGACTTCGGTAGCTAGGAGCTGCAGGGTACCCCTGCCACCTCAGGCTGCGGGGCCGCCAAGCTCTGAGCCACCATGGACAGCGGGAGTACTCCGCAGCCCCCAAAGCGTCAGGGGGATCCCCACTGCTCCTGACCCCCATGGGCAGTAGACGGATCCCAGCAGCTCCCCGCAGGTGGAGGTCTCCCTGGAGCTCCGAGCCCCGATAGTGGTAGGGGCCCCTAGAGCTCCCAGCCTCTCCCGCCCTGCAGCTGCCCAGCGGCTTCCCATTTTGTCATGGATATTTTTAGTATTTTCCATTAATTTTTCTTTATTGCCCATGCTCTGTTTGTGACTTTTACTAAAAATGTCCATGACACAATCTTGGCCTTAATTATTATTTATGCAGTGTATTACCACAACGCCAGTTTAACCATAAATTCCTTTATTAAATCCACAGGCCAAATAATATTTATACAGTTGCTCTAAACATGACTAAAAAGTCAAAATAATAAGTAATTTACTATTTCCAAATAGTAATATAAAACATTTATAAACATTTGATCAAGATATTTACAAATGGGCTAAACTAGGAGTGCTTAGACCATATTGGTCAGATTCAACTTGGTCAGGCAGGTGTTAGCAATGAAGCCTTACTTTTTAATACCCTTTAACAAACAAGTGATGTCATTGCCAATTATCTACTTCATCTAAAAACAATTTGAGATAATTCACCTTTATTTCCAGTCTTAATTCAGATAAGATTTACAATCGCCTGTCTTCCCGAAGCCTTTCCTCCCTATATCTTCGCTCCTTCTTGCTGATCAACAGTTTTTCCCTTGCATGTGGGTTCTCCTAGACACTCATTTTTGAAATAACACTGGCATATGTTTTTTTTTTCAATACGTATTTCTTTAACCAAACTTAAGTTAATGCTAATTCTCTAATATTATATTCTACACAACATCTAAAACCTGTGTCAGGTTCATTTCAGAAATGTATGAAAGGGGGCTTTGTCTCAGCAATGACAAAGTAAGTCCGGCTTTCTTACTGATAGCAAGTGAGGTGATTTTACCGTTTTCTACCTTTATCTGTTGTCTTTTCTCTCTTCAATCAAACAGGAAGTAGGATGGAACAGATGTAACCCTGGTGTAAGGCCTCCTTGATACTGTTTTTTTGTCCTTAGGCTATGTGTGACTATGGCTTTCCGCATAGCCTCTGCATTGTCTGTAAACTTGTCAAGTGTCTTAATGGTCTAATGACAGAGCCACTTGTATGCACTTTGGATTTCTCTTTCTCGAGCCTCACGTGCTGAGTAACTTCACTTGCTCTGTTAACTTTGGATATGTTAAATTCTTTAAAACTAGTAATTTTGTATTTTATTAAAATCTAAAACTACTCATTGTCTGCCAGGTAGTGCTTTATCCTGTAGAGGTGAGTACTGAGTGTTCTTAACACCTGTTGACTTCAGTGTTGAGGGCTTGTAATTACCTTGCACAAGGTGTTTAGCAACTTGTAGAATTGTGCCGTTGCTGTATGTGCATGAAAGGTATTTTTCAAGTAAATCCTGTGGCATACAAAGTTGAGATCTTGAGTAGAAGAAATCTTTTAACATTGGAGAATTATTTTGAAACTGTTGACATTTCTGTTGACATTTCCGGATCCTGCAAGGACTTCTGCACAGGCTTAGTTTTACTTACTGGGCAGACCCACTGAAGTTAGTGGGAATACTTAGATACGTACAATTAAATATGTGCATGAGTGTTTTCATGACTGAAGCTTTATTGTTCCTTCTTGATGCAGAAGTGTGCTTCCGCTCCCCCCCCCCCCATGCTTTGTGTAGTGCCATAATTTGGTACTCTTGTAATAAATTCCAATACAATGTGTACTTGGTTAGTGTCATAACCAAACCTCTTAAGTTGAATAGGAGCTATCCATTTATAGTCCAGTTTTCATCATTACCATAATTGTACCAACACTGATGCCTCTCTGTTGGGTTTGCTCAGCTTTAGGTTTTCAAAAATTTTTCTTTTTGTCTGACTTAATTTTCACTTTGTTTTACTGGGACTTGTCAATATTGCTTCAAAAGTGGGCTGATTCTGTCAGTTTGCTCTTTGTGATCATCCATATTTTTATGTCGATATAGTGTTACAATCTGTGATATTTTTCATTTAGCTAACTGGAACTTACAATTTACTATACTTTTTTTCAGTACTTATGGGTAAGAGAAAAGAGGAAAGCTTTTCAGAACCTGGACTCCACAAAAGACCAAGACAAGAATACACAGATGAATCTAATGATGAGCTTGATGAAGAAGAACGTTCACAGTTGCAGTCTGACAGTAATTCCAGTTCGCAGTCGGTAAGATGTGTGTCCTGTTAGAAATGACAGTTCTAAAAAAGAGGAAATATGCAAACTGGTATAAATATATCATAGACTAAGGTCAGAAGGGACCATTATGATCATCTAGTCTGACTTCCTGCACAACGCAGGCTACAGAATCTCACCCACCCACTCCTGTATCAAACCTGTGTCTGAGCCATTGAAGTCCTCAAATCATGGTTTAAAGACTTCAAGGTTCAGAGAATCTTCCAGCAAGTGACCTGTGCCCTACGCTGCAGAGGAAGGCGAAAAATCCCCAGGGGCTCTGCCAATGGCGATCAGCTAAACCCTGAGCATGTGGGCAAGACTCACCAGCCAGACACCCAGGAAAGAATTCTCTGTAGTAACTCAGATCCCATCCCATCTAACATCCCGTCACAAGCCATTGGGCATATTTACCACTAATAGTCAAAGACCAATCTCATTATACCATCCCCTCCATAAGCTTATCAAGCTTAGTCTTGAAGCCAAATATGTCTTTTGACCCCTACTCCCCTTGGAAGGCTGTTCCAGAACTTCACTCCTCTGATGGTTAGAAACCTTCGTCTAATTTCAAGTCTAAACTTCCTGATGTACAGTTTATATCCATTTGTTCTTGTGTCCACATTGGTACTGAGCTTAAATAATTCCCCTCCCTCCCTGGTATTTATTCCTCTGATATATTTGTAGAGAGCAGTCCTATCTCCCCTCAGCCTTCTTTTGGTTAGGCTAAACAAGCCAAGCTCTTTGAGATTCCTTTCATAAGACAGGCTTTCCATTTCTCGGATCATCCTAGTAGCCGTTCTCTGGACCCATTCCAGTTTGAATTAATCCTTCTTAAACATGGAAGACCAGAACTGCACACAGTATTCCAGATGAGGTCTCACCAGTGCCTTGTATAACAGTACTAACACCTCCTTATCTCTACTGGAAATACCTCGCCGGATGCATCCCAAGACCGCATTAGGTTTTTTCACGGCCATATCACATTGGCAGCTCATAGACATCCTGTGATCAATCAATACTCCAAGGTCCTTCTCCTCCTCTGTTACTTCCAACTGATGCGTCCCCAGCTTATAACAGTAATTCTTGTTATTAATCCCTAAATGCATGACCTTGCACTTTTCACTATTAAATTTCATCCTATTACTATTACTCCAGTTTACAAGGTCATCCAGATCTTCCTGTATGATATCCCGGTCCGTCTCTGTATTGGCAATACCTCCCAGCTTTGTGTCATCCGCAAACTTTATTAGCACATTCCCACTTTTTGTGCCGAGGTCAGTAATAAAAAGATTAAATAAGATTGGTTCCCAAACCGATCCCTGAGGAACTCCACTAGTAACCTCCCTCCAGCCTCACAGTTCATCTTTCAGTACGACTCGTCATCTTCCCCTTCAACCAATTCCTTATCCACCTTTCAGTTTTCATATTGATCCCTATCTTTTCCAATTTAGCTAATAATTTCTCATGTGGAATCGTATCAAATGCCTTACTGAAATCAAGGTAAATTAGATCCACTGCGTTTCCTTTGTCTAAAAAATCTGTTACCTTCTCAAAGAAGGAGATCAGGTTGGTTTGGCATGATCTACCTTTTGTAAAAACATGTTGTAATTTGTCCCAATTACTGTTGACCTCAATGTCCTTAACTACTTTCTCCTTCAACATTTTTTCCAAGACCTTGCATACTACAGATGTCAAACTAACAGGCCTGTAGTTGCCCGGATCACTTTTCCCCCCTTTCTTAAAGATAGGAACTATGGGTTAGCAATTCTCCAGTAATACGGTAAAACCCCTGAGTTTACAGATTCATTAAAAATTCTTGCTAATGGGCTTGCAATTTCATGTGCCAGTTCCTTTAATATTCTTGGATGAAGATTATCTGGGCCCCCTGATTTAGTCCCATTAAGCTGTTCGAGTTTGGCTTCTACCTCGGATGTGGTAATATCTACCTCCATACCCTCATTCCCAGTTGTCATCCTACCATTATTCCTAACCTCCTCATTAAAGACTGAGGCAAAGTATTTGTTTAGATATTGGGCCATGCCTAGATTATCCTTAACCTCCACTCCATCCTTGGTGTTTAGTGGTCTCACTTCTTCTTTCTTTGTGCTGTTTGAGTCAGGTTGATTGTAAAGCAATGTGTCTTGCATGTAGGCTGCAGAAGGAACAATATGAAAATAAAGCTACCAGTGATGTTTCTATCATATCTTCTTCAGTTGTCCTCTACTACATTTGAGGAAACATCTTCCTTCTGGAATAATTTTTTAGGGTGCTGTCAACCATAATGATCTGTTCTTTGGCTTCAGATACACGTGTTACACAATTTCTTGAAGCATTCTGTTTTGATCCTTTTGTAAATTCCACAGCCTGTTGCAGTCCCCAGTTGTCCTTTGGAATAGACAGTAAAGAGTACTATTTTTAAATGTAACTTTAATAATTTGTGTAATACATACTCATGGCAACTAAGCATTGTTTAAAATTAAAATCATAAGTTGCACCGGCGACCACAGTCAGTTGCATTATATAATATGACTACTTCTGAGGGCAAAAAACATAGGCAACCAAGTTAAGGAAATAAAATGTTTGGTTAGTCATCCAAAAACTAACCAAATATGTTGGGCAAGTTGTGATTTTATGTTGCACAAAAATGGGGGGTGGGTGGGAGGGAAATATTTAAAAGATAAATGAGTGACCCGGAAGGAGCAGTTGGAGCCGCTGTAGCTTGTTAAACATATCCCAAATACTTTGTGACACCATCAAAATATAATCATATTTTTGAAATATATTTTTTGTGTAAGTGCCAATTTAAAATAAAATGAGGATAAATGCCATCCTTATTGCTCTCTAGAGTAGTTGAGTCATAACAAGATAAATATTTTAAGAAAAAATGCTTTAAGAAGAAATGTTCTTCAAATGCAGTGTTGTCTGATGTAAGAACTCAAGTTACAGGTGGCCTTTATATATGCTTAAAACAATTATTTGTTTCTAGGAAACAAAAGTGCAGAGAAATGAGTATTGCATTCCCAAAGCTTTGGCTTTACCCTAAAAACTTTCTAACAAAATATATATCAGCATTTTGCCACTGGATTATCCCTTCTGCTTCTAAATTCAGCTCCTTCTTCCCAACTTTGAAAGTTGTTTAAAACGAATAAAGATTATTAAAAAAATAAAATAAAAAATCTATATGGTGTATGAAGAATATTATACCACATGGAAGCTAAATAATAAAAGCATGCTGTGTAAGATGTTCATGACTCGATAACTTAAAGGGAAAAAACTAAGGCTATATATACACTGAATACCTCTTGTGTACCTACACGCCACAGTGAAAAGCTGACTGCATCCACACTGCTGTGTGTAGCTACACATGTCCCCAGAAGTGGGGAGCTGCTGGCATCTTTCCCCACTGCCTCCCTGCTGTGGGGAAAGACTCGAACAGCAGGACACTACACTGCTAAAAATGGCAGTGTACATAGGGAGGCACTGTGTGGGCAAGTAGAGAGTCCTTTAGGGTACATATTGAGGTGCATACCCACAGGGTTCAGGAAGTGTCTTTATTCACCTACGCAGTGACTCATCGTTTACACCAGGGGTCGGCAATGTTTGGCACGCTGCTTGACAGGGTAAGCCCCGAAGCGGGCCGGGCCAGTTTATTTACCTGCTGACGTGGCAGGTTCGGCCGATCGCGGCCCCCACTGGCCGCGGTTCGCCATCCCGGGCCAAAGGGGGCGGCGGGAAGCCGTGGCCAGCAAATCCCTCGCCTGCGCCGCTTCCTGCCGCCCCCATTGGCCCGGGACGCTGAATCGCGGCGAGTGGGGGCCGCGATCGGCCGAACCTGCCGCGTCAGCAGGTAAATAAACTGGCCCGGCCCACTAGGGTGTTTACCCTGGCGAGCCGCGTGCCAAACGTTGCCGACCCCTGGTCTACACTGCTATTTATATCCATGTTGGAGGGGTGTCTGTGGTGTGTATACTCTACATGCCACAGAAAGGAGTATGCAGTGTAGATGTACCCTAAAACTATCTTTGATAAGTGAAGCATTTTGATAACTATTTGCATTTAATACTACAATATGACTGAATTACACCACCAACTATAAATTTTCATATTGTTGTGTAATTTGTATATATCACCACCTAAAGCCCTTCCATCTGTTTGCTGTCCTGTTTTGGCTACAAAAGTATCCATGACTTTTGATACCATTACCATTTTATCACCATGTTCTCATTTTAATTTCTCATTCTACGTGACTCACTTTGTTTTTTTCATTAATTTTGTGCATTTGATTTGTCATTTTCATGATATTTCTGTAGACTTCGGGGGAAGTGGGGATAATTGAAAGCATCCAATTGAAGAACTTCATGTGCCATTCAATGTTGGGGCCCTTTCAGTTTGGATCCAATGTAAACTTTGTGGTTGGAAACAATGGAAGTAAGTATTAATTTTCTCATTTCTCTATCAGGAGCATTTTTGTGGACTTATACAAAAACTAAACCAAATATGTTCCTAAATATTTAGAGCAAACGTTCATTAAAAATTCTTTTTAACTACAGAAAAGGAAAACAATTATTTATACAAACTTCTGCTTTTTCATTGATGTTCGTCTCAGTGCTAAACAAGATAGAGAGGTTTCTATATGTTGTGATTTTAATTTAGTTATACGATACAACATTGATTAATGATGACCTGTTATGTGGTGTTATCAAAACAACTTAAACTTAATTTTGATTAACGTTCTTTGTTGTATATGTATTTCTTAACTTTCAGCCCAAATGTAGTATTACATACTAATTTAAAATGTTACTGTCTTCTTCTTGTTTTTCTTTGTGAAGATGTCATGTTGTTTGTTTAAAAAACAAGGGGAAGATTGAGCATTAACAAAATAGACACCTTCCCGTTTGTATTTGTTCAGTAATACTTTGCATCATTTGTAGGTGCAATAAATGTTGTCAAAGCACAAGAAAAAGACAGAATCCTCCTGTATCTGTCAGAGATTAGTTCATTCTGCCAAGGATTGGCCCTCATAACATGTTTGGAGTTTTGTCATCCATTCTGGATCTGCTGCAAGGTTCTGTGTACTGTGATTATCTCTGCAGTTGCACTTCTTTCACCCAGGGTTAGGCTGCTTCTTATTTTCCTCACCTTTTCATAGAAAGCCTTACCTTTTCTGGTAATTTGTGGAAATGTCTTATCTTCTGTTGAAATGTCCAACATACGAATGTCTCTCCTCTCTGGGTTTGAACTGTCATTTGTTTCCCAGTTATCCTCTTCTAGTGTATAGTCTCTGATTCTTCTGTATTGGTTAAATGTCTGTCCTAGCTTTGCACTCTATACTGGGGTGAGGTAGTCTGTTAGTGTGATAATTGTGTACCAAGAGGACATTTTATTTTAATTTAGGGTGGTTGTGTGAGTTTAGGTGCTGATCTAGTGTCATGAGGTTTCTTGGGGTTGTTTGCTCCATTGGTTGTGAGGTTAGTGGTGTTGCAGTAAGGAGCAATATATAGGTATGAATAGTATTGATTCATTGTCTTATGTTGAAGGGATTATTTGCTGCTTTCAGGTAGAACCTGAAGTGCAGTGTTCTTTTCTGTACTTTTATTAGGAGTGGGGATGGGACTGAGCTCTGCCCTGTTGTATTGTTGCTGGTATTGTCTTCTGCTTGTGTAGTGTACATAGTGATACAAACAAAGCTAACAGCATTGGAGAAGAAGGGTACATAATAAACCTCTACATGGCTAGGGTAATTAAATATACAATCATATTAATAACTGGGGCTGTCAAATCATTTAAAAAATTAATAGTGATTAATCACCCGATTAAAAAAAACATGATTAATTGCAGTTTTAATTGCACTATGAATAGAATACCATTTATTTAAATATTTGTGGATGTCTTTTACATATTCAAATATACTGATTACAATTACAACACAATAGCAAGTACACAGTGTTCACTTTATGTTATTTTTATTACAAATATTTGCACTATAAAAAAGATAAACAAAAGAAATAGTATTTTTCAGTTCACCTCATAGAAGTCTGTAGTGCAATGGTCTTTATCATGAAAGTGCAATTTACAAATCTAGATTTTTTTGTTACATTACTGCACTCAAAAACAAAACAAGTAAAACTTTAGAGCCTACAAGTCTATTCAGTCCTACTTCAAGTTCAGTCAATCGCTAAGACAAACAAGCTTGTTAACATTTATGGGAGATAATGCTGCCTGCCTCTTATTTACAAAGTTACCTGAAAGTGAGAACAGGGATTATTAGCATGGCACTGTTGTAGCCAGTGTTGCCAAGGTATTTATATTCTAGCTATGCTAAACATTTGTTTGTCCCTTCATGCTTCGACAACCATTCCAGAGGACATGCTTCCATTTCTTTAACTTAGCACTAGGCTTGGCAGAATGATTTTTTTTTTTAACAATATATAATTTGGATGGATAATATTATTTTTAAGCATTTTTAATTTTTATCTATTTAAAATTTTCACAGTGCACAAAACTGAGTTTTAATCTTTTTTTTTTTTTTTTTCAATTTTTATTGACTTAAATTTTCAGTTGAAGAATACTGCTGGATAAGACAATGGAGAGGAGATCAGACAGACGTTAAGACTCAAAAAAGTTAAAGCTGTATAACCATGAAAATACAGATTGTCAACATCATATGTCAAAATATACTAACTCTGTAACCTTAGATCAAATTCTAAGTTCTCAAGCAGCATTTTTCTTACTTTGCCCATCTGTAAATTTTGATTATTATCGATAGAACAGGCCTGCACAACATGCGGCTCACTGTGCGGCCTGCGGGCAAGTGGTGGGGGGAGCTGCTGGCTTCACCCCCTGACGGGTGCAGAGGGTGCAGAGCCGACCTGACAGCCCCGCCCGCGCGTACCGCGCTCCGGCCGGTGAGAAGCGCGGCTGCCACGTTTGCTCCCTGCTGGGGGGAGGAGAGGGGGCCGACCTCACAGCCCCGCGTGGGTGCACCGCGTTCCGGCCGGCCGTCGAGAAGCGCGGCTGCCGGGTTCGCCCCCTGCCGGGGGAAGGGAAAGGAGGAGGCCGACCTCACAGCCCCACGTGTGCGCGCCACGCTCCAGCCGGCTGGTCAGAAGCGCGGCTGCAAGGTTCGCCCCCTGCCTGGAGAGGGGCCAACCTCACAGCCCTGCATGTGCGTGCCGCGCTCCGACTGTCCGGACGGCCAGAAGCGCGGCTGCGGGGGGCCCGCGCGCGCCGCGCTCTAACGTCCCGAACGGCCAGAAGCGCACACACGCGTGCACGTGTCTCCGTCTCCCGCTGCCCCCGCCTGGCGTACAGCGGGTGCGTCACTTCCGGGGCCTGCTGAGGCGGGAAGCGCTGGGCACGAGGCAGAGCCGGTAAGTGCGAGCGAGGGGAGGGGCGCCCAGCCTGGGCTCGAGCCGCAACTGGGGGGGACTGGGCCGAGACACCCCCCCCAACCTCCCTCTTCGGTTGGGGGTGGGGTGGCTACTGCGCTGGTTGCTCCCAGGGCGGCCTGTGTAGTGATTGGGGGAGGAGCGGGGGCGGAGTTTGAACTGTCTGTGGGCAGCCGGGAAAACCCGGGGGGGAGGAGGGAGACAGAGTGTGTGTGTGTGTGTGTGTGTGTGTCTGTGTGTGCGAGGGTCGGTC